GAAAGAAAAAAAAAAGAGCAAAACATAAATTAAAAAAAAAAAGAAAAGGAAGAAATTAAAATGTAATAGTCTAAATTGCAATTTTGGTCATATTAAATCACGAAGGTGGCAATTTAAGTCTAAATTGAGATTGAATGATGTATCGCAATTTAAGTCTTATAATTTAGAATTTCGCTGCAATATACCATCAAAATTGGACGATCAAAATGTACTAAAATTGCAACAAAATTTTAAATGAGAGAGTTTAAAATGATTTGTCACTAACTTAAATTGCTATTAATTTACAATTTAGCCAATCTAATACTCCCTCCTATTTTTTTTTTTAAATGTCATTCTACCTTTATCAACTATTAACTAAATAAATGTCGTTTTAGATCTTTTGTATATATTTTTCCATTATTACCCCCATTTAGCTAATAAATACATTACATCTTTTCATATTCACTTTTCACGTTTTCTCAAAATATTCATCTCTATTTTCATTAAATACGGTTATTATTGACACAAAAAATTATTCTTAATTAATGTGCAACTTTTCAAAACGACATATATTAAAAATAAGAGATAGTACTATATAGTTTTTTTTTTTTTTGAAGAAAACTAGGAAAACTAACTGCATCAAAATCCGGGTTCAGTTGCCCCACTTGATCCGGGTCTGGACACGCTCAAACTCCGAGATCCGACAGGGTATGGTTAGCCCGCCCGGCTGATCGAACCCGAACTCGTTTTCGGACTCTCTCAACAAGTCCCCAAACAGAGGGTGATTAAAATACGCCACGGGCACCAAAACCCTCTGAAAGTCAACATCTTTCTGGCCCACGTAGACCGCCATATGCCCCTTCGGGGCACGATCCAGCTTCTTCAGAACCGGATCTTGCCCGACCCGCATGTAACCTCGACCCGGGTACACGCTTCTTCCCGCTATCGCCCTCCTGAATCGCCGGGCCCACCTAATCAGCCGACTGCACGGCGCCGGAGAAAATCCTCGCCGGAAAACCCGACGGAAACATGTCCTGACCCGGTGTTTCAGCAGAAAACCTCCGATCCTGACCATTTTCAAGTTTTTTTTTTGTTGGGATTTCTTGATAAAAAAAAACACAAATTATACTGTGATTGGCAAAATATTAACTAAAGAGTTGGCTTGAGTTTGAGCTCTCTATTTTCATTTATTTCCATAAACCATAATAATAGGTTCATCGGTGGGCTTCCAATATAGTTTTATTAAAGGAAAAAAAAAAGAGAAAAAAAAAGCTGTAGCAGATTACGTATTCCCATAAGATATTATAGTGTGTGTGTGTGTGATTATATTATATTATAATTATGGGAAATGCTATAGTCCCGTTACGGAATCATTCCGTCGAGATTTGCAACCGTTAGATCAACTATATCTGACGGTTACATGATGATCTAACGGTTGCAAACTCCGACGGAATGGTTCCGACGTGTGAATAATCAATAATGTCAACTTATTGTACAAAAAAAAAAATAATAATGTCAACTTAAAATTAAATTTAAAAATTAAATCATGACGGAGACTCTTGACTGGAGTGGGGGTTTCAAAATGGCGAGGGAAAGAATACGGAAATTTCCACTTTTTGTAACGTACGTAGATCTTTTAATAACATTTATAATAATAACATACTAAACCGTTAGATCATCGTTTAACTGTCGGAAATAGTTGATCTAGCGATTACAAACTCCGACATAATAGTTCCATAATGAGACTGTAGTATCTCCCAAACAATAACATATACATTATTATACGATGCATGTAATTATATTATTTTTTGATTAAATTAGTCGTGAGTATGTGTCAAACCGGGAGCAAAACGAGTGCGGTTCCACACAAGTGAAGCGCACCATAAGAGAGTTAGTCCAAATGAAATCTAAGTGAAGTTTTTTTTTTTTTTTATCGTATTACTACAATACAATAGAAAATAGAGATATTTGTAGTTATTCTTAATTAGTTGTAAAATATGTATATGTATTTATATAATACCAAAATATACACAGTATTAAAATTAAAACAAAAATATTTTGTATTTTCGAAATAAAAAAGCGTTAAAAATATGGGCATCTTCCTAAATGGGACATGTCAAAAAAAAATTGTGTTACTGAAAGTTATATATTTTTATTAAATGAACATCTATTTGTGATAAAGGTGTCATTCGATGGTTCCATAGAATTTGTGATGCAACGAATTAAATGGTAAAATTATAAATCAGATATGGATAATTGCTATATGGATATACTCAAGCATTGTCTCAATATTTTGGATTAATATACCAACAGGGGTTGGCTCAACTGGTAAACAGTTTGATTCCGCTAAAGTACGATCTCGGGTTTGAATCCTTGTGGATGCAGAAAACCCTTGTTGGGAGACTCACCCACCACTGCCAGATATACGACCCGGGTTGATCAACGAATTAGTCGAGATATAGCTCCGGATATCGTAGCTGACTACCAAATGAAAAATATATTTTGGATTCATATAAGTTTGTCCAATACTCGGCTTTGGAAGGACATCTTGAGTGAGAAGTGAGAACACATCCATCGTGTTTGCAATATTTTTTAAGCCTTTTGGATTTATCTATTCATAGTGTACGGTTATCTATTTTTTATTTATTAAAGGGCCATAAATACCCCTTGGAATATACCAAAGGACGGCCAATCAAGGTGACAATTTAAAACATAAAATGAAACCCAAAAAAGAATAAAAAAAATTCATCTCGCTTTTATCCCTACAATCCCAATAACACAAATAATTCTTCATACACATTTTTCATTACACCAATAACTACATTTTTAGTTTATATTCATTTGTAATCTCCAAAATTGTATTTTTTTTTTTTTAAATTATAATTTTTTTTTTTTAACGTTTTCATCTCACTTTTTTTTTTTACACCAATAGCCATGTAACTCATCTTTGAAAAATGAATTCTCAGGGTACAAAATAATTTATCCGTACTTATGTTGTACTTCACAGATATATAAAAGCTAACACTAACTGCAAATATAAAAAAGGATGGAGATTTATTTAACGATA